CTGAAAAAATGAGGTTTGCTAGAGGATGGTGGCTAAGAGTAAACAAATTTCTCAAAAAAAAACTAAAAATGGAGATGGGTAAAAGTTTTCTTTCAGTCACAACATGTTGATAACGTCACAATAAATTTTTTATGAAAGAATTTTTATTAAGCAGAAAAGAATCAAATAGCAGCTGCTCGATTTCTTTGGTTTGATGAAATGCTAATGATCGCCGATGTGTGTCATTAACAATATCAAAACCATGCTGTATATATGGAATAAAATATGGAACACCTATATCATTCAATTTCGAACTTTTCTTTCTTACCCAAGTAAAAGCAATTAGCTCAGCAGCATATCTCATTACTTTTGCAGGCATTTTCCATACTTTTCTGCTGAATAAATCATACTAGGTTGAACGAAAATTCTTCGTTGATTTTGAGAAATTTATAAATGCTCCCTATGTAAACGCGTCTGCTTAAAAATATTCTATCCGAAAGAAAAATTCATCTGCTCTACAAAAATATCTTCGCGGCTTTTTGATAACAAGGGAATTTGGAGATAAAAACTCGAATAGGAGAACTACTCTGGCTAGCGATTCAGGAAAAAACTGTCAAAAATCTGGAACACGCAAAGGATCTGAAAACATGTTTCTTACAGCATGTTTCTTCTTTCTATTTAGCTTACGAAGACTGAAAGAAACATGCTTTCAAATTTTTCTGCGCGTTTCCTCTTTTAGCAAGTAGTGGTCCCTTGATAACAATTTTATCTCTACAGTCGCTTGCCTTCAAAGAGCTACGAAAATGTTTTTGTAAAGCACGAAATTTTCTTTCTGATGGAATTGTCTGTAAGCAAATACGTTCACACAGGGGGCTATCACGAGTTTCTCAAAAAAAAGAGGCAGGACTTTCGTTTCAACCCAATATAAATTCGAGGAACTGTTCACACTACGCAGCTTCAGTTTCTGTACAGAACACGCCCTTAACCATCACGCGAAAATTGACAGATTTTCATTCACTTTCGTGCATTGTAGCCATTTGTAGTTTGAAGTGCTTTATCTTATATTAACATAATTTTCCTGATTTTCTTCACAGTAAAAAATCGTAATCCTTCACGGTAGTCAATATAGGTTTGAAAAAGGCACGCGCAATTTTAAGAGATCGTGGCAGCGCCGTAGAAAGTGCAAAATTCTATTGAAATTTTTCAGTAAAGGACAGATGCCCCTTACCACAGACCAACAATTTTTTGGCTAGCTTTGGTGAGTGATTGCGGCAGCAACCGGCTAGTTGAGTAGCACCAGCTATAGACTGTCTTACTGTGAGTGTTAAGGCTCTAGCGGCCCGGGCCCTCGCAGCCGCTTTTGCTACGTTGCGTTGCTTTTGCGGACGTATCTTCTAAACATTTTCCCACGCCTAGCAGCAAATAAGAGCTCTTGTGCCGTTGGAAAATGTCCAGGAAAACTTTTGCGGTAGCAGCCATTAGACCCGAGTGGGGCGGCGCTAGGACCGGAGATCCAGTGCCTTGACACTCACAGTAAACAGCCCATACAAAGCCATTAGGGCCAGAAAACAATTACAGTGCAACCCTTTCTCTTGATTAAGCCACCATTAGAAACACTTTAATAATAATTCAAACACTGAAATCATACTGTGCAGGCGTTGAAGTTCAAGAGCAATGTGCTATATGATTCGTTCGAAAGGTTGAGCCATTTGGAACAAAAAACAATAAAAAATTAAAGTACAGCTCTTTTTCAGGAATACATTTTTCAAGTCAGAAACGCCTTGCAAACATCTATCTGAAGCTTTCGATCACAACCAAGAATGTTTTGTATGATGTTTTATAAGTGACATTTTGAGTTCGATAATTCGACTTATTCAACATCACCGTCATCTGGCACCGTAGGTTAGAAAGTCAAGGTGACAGAATCACATACGATCTACAAGATGGGCATACATTGGTTTACGGCAAATCTCACACCTTCAGCGTTTTGTGATAAAGCTTTTCACCTTAAGGCTCAAAGCAAACCTCGCGCGATTCCGGTCGCTTCGCGATTTGGCACATCAACGACTCTTCGCAATTCGTCGTCAATGCGTTGCCTTTGGTCTGTCAGGTATAAGGGTTACCTATTCCCTTACCTGATGTGTAGCGGGTTTACATAAGTCTTACTATAATGTCTATCATAATTATTATATACAAAAGGGGGAAAGGGGAAGGGGAAGGCCACCGGCTAGTGCTGGCGACCGAAGGTCACTGCTAGAGGTTGGCTGTCTTCGGCTAACCTCCTTCTCGAGCAGCTGTTGTAGCTAGCTGCGTTCCGACATCTCCACTCCTTCAGAAAGCTCGTCCCCAAGCTTGTTATATGGTTGAGGTCTCGAATTGTTGTAGTTAGCATTGGCGTAGTTGATGTCCTTCCGGGTAACGTGCGTTGGAATATGCAATATACGGTGAGAACATACAGGCTGAAGTAATGAGTATATTGAAGATACATAATAAATTGATGATATGGATCCAGTGGACTGCGAGCAGCCACGACCTTCACCTAGAATATCCCCTTGGCTTTCACCAAAGTTGGCCGTAAACTGCGGAGCACGCGAGAATCGGCGTGTGAGTACGATGTACTACAGCGAATTGCATCGGTACAGAGCAGTGGCGGCAGTAGGATTTCCGTCCGGTGAGGGGTGCGGTAAAAATTTTTTAAAATCAACTTTCAAATTTTCAAATTAGTTTCAAAATTTTTCCAATTTCAAATTAAATTTTCAATTTTTCAAATGCTTCCCCCCCCCCTCCGCACCACCCACCCCTCGCACCGCGACAGGTACAGGGTTTGACTGGGCGGTCCCCGCAATGTACGACCAGCCCGTGCGGTCAAGTGCCGAAGAAAAAAACTAACAAGAATTCATGAAATAGTATGGTTATGAACAGAAAAGCTGATGAGAGCTGTATGTCGATTGGCGACGATTAATTTTCGTTACTAAGAACTGCGATAACTTAGTCTTCCAATAAGATTTTCTGTTGAAAAAGCTGCACATATTTTCTAGGTGCACCATTACTTCTGGATCACACTACTATACATATCTAGCTACGGAAAGACTAAGAGCGCGACTTGTAAAGCGAATAGAGTTTCCATGACGTTTCAAAAAGTATCATCTCTTGTACATGATTAAGTAAATATATTTAGGTAGCAACGTTAAGTCAATTCGAAAAGCAAACTCTGCTTTGGTGGCAGCACTTTGCTTCTCCCTCCTGCGATCTTCCAAACAGAACGCATCGCAGAAATCGAGTAAAAAAGATTCATGATGAAAGAACAGAAGACAAATTTTCTTTCCAGTGCTATGTCTTTTGTAAAACCCTGCCTAAACTATCGTACTCTGGACGTTTCCTCCGAACCCTCTTGGCACTGATGTTATCGAAGGTCCACACAGTTAATGACTGCATAAAGAACAGCTTTGCTTTCTAGCTGTTGTGGTAATCCCAACACACGCCGCGCAACACACGTTCATGGGCTTATACACATAGACTTCGGCATTTTCGCTATGCTTTTATCCATTCATCTGTTTCGCTTGACGAAGCAATTATGAGTTAAGGGCATCTCGCTTGTTCCGCCGAATACTGCGCGAATTTTGGCAGTCCATTAAAACTTACTGTATTTGAACATAATAAACGTGAGTTCATCTAGATCAACTTATAAAAGTTGTGCCGTTACTCTTTTGAAGTCAATCAAATCTACAAACAGATTGTTTGTAAAAATTCAAACTGTGAAGTCGCCTGCGTCCAAGTTCCCGCAAAATTGACAAGGACTAGGTGCCCAAAATATTTTCGTTTACCTTAACACAATGAAAAAGTGCTGTATCAGCTACCTTTGCATTAGCGAAACCGTAATGCAGTTGCATATGCAAATGAGTCTCAAATCCAGTATGTAGCTTCTATCAGAGTAAATGAAGTTTCGTAAACTATGAGAAGGTTTTCAATGATGATGGGAATGTACTCTAATTCGTCATGCTCAACAGCAATTATTATAAGATCATTTTCTGGCACCATATGTAACCCTGGCACGCTACAGAAGCAATCCATTGGTTACCTTGAAGCAACATTTCGGACTTGTGCCAGTAGTGCATTTTGCTTTTCAGGCAAGCATTAACCGTTAATGAATCCCAATAGGAAGTCCGAGATTGATTGTACATCAAATTTACCGAAAATTTGAAATTTGCACAAGCACATGTGAAGAAACATTTCTTCGACCAGCTGGGACGAAATCGACAACTCAGCCTTGCCTTTCGAAAATGGGCAGATATCTGCTGTTCGCCCCAGCTCAAATCTAGATAATGTCGAACTTCAATTTGAGTATTGATAATAGCACCTCAGCTATCTATTGTTGCCTTTTGAGCTGATATCATGCCCTGCTTAAAGGCAGTGACCCAGCGAAATTTCGCTCTGCGGTTTTTCAATCCCTCGGAGCCTCCTCGCCATGCTGAGGCCATATCTGAGATTCCATCGCTTGAGAATGCAAATATTAGCTCTTTTCGGAGCTTTCCGTGTCGGCGTTCGCTCCACATTACCTGTGAGAAGTGGGCACGGCCGGAAGTGGGCGGTGTCCGGAAGACTTTCGGAGCGAATTTTGGGCTTACCACAAGCGCTTTTTCGCTTCAGACTTATTCCAACGATCAAGACTCATCCTGCCAAGCAGGCTCCCTTTGAAGGCTGAACTACAATAGGATTATTCCTGACATTTACTCACCTCCCTCCGATGCAGACGATGCGGAGAGAAGCTAAAAAACTATTTGATAACTAGAGTAATCTTAGGATGGGAGGTGAAACTAACCACAGCTGCAATGTAGAGCAGCCAAAGCATTTTGATGTTATTTTTCGATGCGCTGCTCCTTTTATATGCATGCAATATCACGAGGACACCGTAGTCCGTTACAATTATGCAGCCACTTTTTAAATATAATGTTTTTTGTGCGGTGTTCAACTACCCACTCAAACATCAAGTTACTCGCCCGTATGCATATCTTTTTTTCTAGGAAAAGCCATCCGACTACATGGGCAAAGGAATGCCAGTAGTTTTTCCTGAAGAAGTGGCTAAAGATGTTGAGATGGCACACGCTGCTACGCCTATGCTTACTAAGGAAGAGCGAACGCCATTGAAGGTTTGTAAAAATTCTTGGCAATGGGCCAGTTTTTGGAGATTTGCTGACACGAAGAAAATAAGAGTAAAAGCACTATTCTAGGTATCCCAGCATGAAAATCCTCTGTACAAGCCACCACCACCTTTGGCTGCCGCTTCACCCCGAGTAGGGTCCGCTGCCACCGTTCCGAACCAAAGGATGCCGCCCACCTATGTTCCACCGTAATTTTCGTTAGAGAAGTAGAAACGAGCTGTATGGACAGATTTCGATACGGTTCGAGTTGGCAAGCCACGCCCTTATTGGCTCGTACGAGTTTGCTCCACGAACGTTGTTGTTATATTTGAATTCTCAGGACGCCAGCTTTCTGATGGACTCGAAACTTTCCCTCTCCACTTCCCCCATCAAAAAGAAATTCTCGTTACCTCTATCTTTCTTAATGTATTGTTGCATTTTTCACTTCTAGTTTTCCCATATCGATCGGTTTTATCGATCGATTATAGTTTAGTTGATCCACTCCCAAACGCAGCTTTCTCTCCCTCGTTTCTGTGTTCATTATTCAGCCAGCCTCGATGAAGGCGCATATCCCCTCTCTGATCTACGCACATATACCACATAGTAAAATACACATCATCTACAGTATGCTTAGTCGTGGTTGGCACTCACACATGGGTATCGATTTATTGATTTATTGATTGAGTTTTTTTCGTTTTCCTTTCTTGAATTGCATGCTCCCTAGCCCGCGCTGCTCTCCATCGCCACACCTCTGCAAATGCCTATTTATCTACCGTACACGTATCGTATTGCCCTACGTCAGTGATTTACAACCGAGTTCATTCAATGATTTATTGATTGTTATTGCTGATTCAATGATGTACGATTGATTTATTGATTGATCACATTTGTGTACATAATGAAAGTTGGTTAAATCTGATTCTGGTTGTAAATAGTGCAAAAATAGGTGAAGGTCAATTATGCCATCAAATTTTCGCCCTAAAATGAATTGGCAAGGTGCCAGAACGTCCAGTGAAGTCATATTTTCTTCCTGTTTTGAGTATCATGCACTCTGACAACAAAGATGGCGCGTTTCCGCAAGTGCAGGTGCTCGGAATGACGCAACGGCAGCTGCATGACGAAGCTGATGGTGAGGTGGGAAACGTAAACTGCTCGTTAAGTAATCGACTACTGTTAGTAGAGGACTAACATTAGAAATTTGGAGCATTCTCCCCAAAATATTCACATCTGTCTTCAAATTTAGGGAAAAAAATTGGCAAAAGCCTTTCAATGACTTTATCATGGTTTTATGTGCGAAACATATAGGTGCTCAGCAATTATATAGAGTTATCGTCAACAATTCTCGGAGGATTGACAGATTTTGGTTAATTTGCCATCATAGCCACCATACAGGCAACGAACTCGTGACGGTATCCGCCGCATCAGCGCTCTTGGGCGCTGCGCTATGCAACAACTACTAGTGTAATGAATAGTCGATATTCGAAATTGTTGTTGAGCACATCAGAACCTATGATGTCTCCATAATATTTCAAGAACACTTATTCAGCTGTTTTCTTGTGCGGAGGTAACACCAAATTTTCGTCACAACTGAATGACAATTATGCCTTATAAGGCTAGCCTCCTAAATAAAATCATTTTTAAAACTAGTTAACTCAGCCTGTAATGAGTACACGGATGAGCAGATTGTGATTGTATACAACAACCAAGAAACAAAATATTTCTCTGCTGTCTGCGGTTCTGTGAAGCCAAAAATGTGAGAATTTCAATGCATTTGCGCGTGGAAGTCTTTCTAGCCTAGCTAGATAGCTTGAATTTGAACATTTATGGCCATGCAAATGGTTGAAAAATTAAGAATATGTTGTGTGGATACCAAATGTGCATCCTACATCTAGCCTCAGCTTGTTTTTCGAGCATGTTATTTCAGAAAATTTGTTGGATCTGTTTTCCTATCTTCCACCATTTCTTCATAAAAGATTTTTCAAATAAACTCATTCTGCAATTCTCCTTGATTTGTTCTTTTCAGTGCTGCCAAACGATCTGCTGTAAGCAATATATAACATGATATTCGTTGGCGACGTCGGTTGAGCCCATTATTCAAAATACACACACTTTATAGTAGTGGCTATCATCGATACCCACAATAGGCATAATAACGATGTCCTGCCAAGCATAATGAGGATAATTTTCATAATTAGCATGTACAAAAATACCACTATAAATCAAGTTTCAAGAATTGTGAGGTTCTAAATATTGGACTAGCCAAATGGAATGGTCATTTTTCAAACACCAACTCCGTTTTAAAGATGAGTTAACTATCTCTTTTTGCACTCAGGAACAAAGCACTATCACTTCTTCGACATGAGAAGTTTACTTCAAGTATCCCCAAGCTGTGGGATTAGGAGTTAGTCAATCTCGTTTGTTCATTTTCGCTTTCATTGATTCTGCTTCGCAACTATCATTAAGAATAGAGAAGAATTAGGTTTAAATTCTTTTGTGAAAACTAAAAGACATGAGCTATTGAAGATATACTTCTCTTCTTCCCTCGCATTATACAAAGTAGCGCAAAGCATTGTTGCCGTAAACCCAATATTGCCTTGAACATGGGATTGGAACAACAACTATATTTTTCTAGGATTAACGAAATTGGATGAAATTTCTATAAATTCTATAGTAAAGAGAAGAAGGTAGACTGGTCTCAACGAGTGATAAAAAAAACTTGATGTATGAATGCTTAGAAGGTAAGTTCATGCTCTGTCACGACCCTCAAAAAATGAGGCAGCCATACCTTTTTTGGGATTGTGCCACATCCAATCAATTTAACCAGAAACTTTTAGCGAATGATGTGCACAAGTTCGATTGTCTAAACCCTCTAGTTTCCACAACAGTACTTTGGGTTTGAATCATCCGAAAAAAGGGATAAACAAGATTTTGACTGGCTCCTAATTCCATAGCTTGACGGTTCTTTGATTGGAATCTCTCAGTGGAGAAAGACCGAAAAGTGCTTCATCTAGAGAGAACGAGGTAGATAACTCGCCTTTGAAACAAGTTAACCGTGTTTGAAAATGACTTTCCACACATAGGTATCTTATATAGAAACCTTTCTCAGAATATCCTGAATCTTGGTTTATTGGGATTATCTGACATGTCGATTACGAATACGTTTCTCATCATGCTTATTAGACCCTCATGCTATGTCAAGGTGGATAACCGGGGGGGGGGGTATCCTGCGGCGTCTGCCACATCTCTTGCCCGACTTTGGTTGCAACCGATGTTAATCCAGACGGTACGTGTAGTTGCTGCTAGGCGCCATCGCACGCCAAAAAGTCTATTCCTTATTCTAGTTAGAAAAACACATGCTGCGCTTTCATCTTGCTACTCCTGAGAAAAGGATAATGGATTCGGAGTCTTCAATACCCTCTGCGGGCATGCGCCGAAGGCACACTACTTCATAGTCGGAGAGGCAATTGTATGTATTGTATTATAGTGACTAACAGAGGCCAGCCGTTAACCAAGAGTGCTTTCCTCCTCCCAAATTACTCTGGTACCAATTTATCAGCCCGCAGGGTAGAGGGCTTAGTTGGCCCAGGGGGAGTTTTCTATGTCCGATCTGGTTAGCGGCGCCTCATACCACTCGCCACTCGTCCCCGTGTCCTGAGATATATACTCATTATACAATGAAACACGTAAATCTATCAACCCCTAAGAGGATTTCTAGAAACGAATAGATCAACGTTTTTAAAACTAACTTGCTGATTAAGAAAGCAAGTTGTTAAATAGTGCTCTCACAACTGTCGAGACTACAGTTTGTTTATATAAATTTAGTGGCCCTTATTTTTTGATGGTTTTAGTTTTAACTTCTATTTTATTACAAATATATGAAATATAATGTCATGCGCTGTTTTGAGAGAGTCTGAATCTTCGGCTCTAGCCTAAGATTCGCTCCTCTAATTGTTTCTTTCTCGTCTTGTTTTTAGTTTTCCGCCTTAACGTGGATTCCATTTATTGGGGCGTTTGATCTGATACTTTTCTCTATGTTGTTTCAGTGGCAGTTCGAATCTATCATTTTCCCTTACTACTTAACGCAACTAATGGTTGAGTTTATTATTGTAAAGCATACACATGCAGACAAAGATGTCTGCTCAAAACTGAACAAGCAGTACTTGTGTTAATTTCGAAAATATATCAAACTTCATGAAATAACGTTTGGAAGACAAAGATGCAAATGTAAAAGTAAAATACAGCCAATGACCTATCAACTTGCGGCTTCTCTAGGTGCGCAATCTGAAACCGTTCAGCGTTGTCATCTTTTTCTTCAACTTCTGTGACATGTTTTTCTGATTTTTTAGCCAGTCGCAAAAAAAACAACTAAGTAAATGGTACATAACGCAGAGGTACAAAAATTACACAGTACTTTTCTGAAGTTTGCATCTCTCGCTTCCCTCCCTGACTTGACGTCTGCGAATATGTGGCACAAGGTGTGTTTGTGACGCATTGTGTTGTTGCTCTTGATTTTTCGTAATTGCGAAACCGAATTGTAGTTTTTTGGTAGATTGTGCTTTTACGGTAGTGGATGATAGTCTTGTAGAGGACTGCGTTGCTGCGGTGGTGGATGATAGTTTTGTTGTAGGTCGTGCTTCTGCGGTAGAGGATGGTAGTTTTATGCTGCTTTCGTACGCCGCTGGCACTGTAAAAAATAATGAGCGACCAAGACGTCACTAGGATATGCAAAAAGAGGAGGTAGAAGATTCCGTGACTTTTCTATGATGTTTTGCACAACCATTTTGTCAAATAAACCACAGTGACCCGATAATGTAGATTGAACTAAAACTCCAAAACTTTCGGAAATCATCATCAATCATTAGTTCTTTAGCCAGCCTTGGAAAAAGTGTCGCGTTCAGCTTCAGCCAGGTCCCGGCGCAAGACGGTTTCTAGGATTCTTTATACGAAGTCTTCTGATGAAGTTCTTGGTGAAACTCTACACAGTCCCTTTTGGAAAACCTCTCTCAAGCTGTGATAGTGGTTCTACAAACGAACTGAATGCAAAAAGTCGGGTTTGGGGGGGGGGGGAGAGGGAGGGGAGAGGGAAGGGTTATGACCAGGGTCGAGTAAGAGGTGTGGCACACAGCCGCCGGATACGATCCCCCCTCCCCCCCCCCCCTCCCCCGATGCTCTCCCTCCCCAGCCGTAGGCATGACACAAAGGCTCTACCAAGCATGATTAATAGCATGTTCGTGATTATCACGTCAGATAATCCCTATGGGCCAAGTTTTAGCGAATTCCGAGTTCCCAATGTCGAGCTACCTCTTTCGTACTCCATATAAAGCAGTACTCCATATTCGCCATTATCACCACGAACCCTGCTACAAATAACAACCAATCTATGGGATTGGGAGCCAACCAAAATTTCGTTTG